TTTTTTCTTAAAAATTTTAGAAAAATATTTTTATGTTCAATAAAAAACATATTTTTTATGACAATATAAGATTAATTTAAATAAAATTGTTCATGTATTAAAATTTTTAAAATAACAATTATTTCTTTGCAAACAAGTTTCTTTTGAATTATATTTGGAAAATATAATTTTTTATTTAAAAAAATGAATTAAAGAGAGGATGATGCATTACCCATCAAGATAACCAAACTAAAATGTGTAAATAGAATAAGAAATCCAAAATAAATAAATAGATAAATAACGTATTTTAGCAAATGTAAAATTTCCAAAGTCAATCTTTAGAAGCTAACTAGATGTGCATGTTTACTTAATAAATGCCAACCTCCATATTAGCATTCCAACCAAAAACATCTACTACAACGATTGGTCAAAATAAAAAGTTAACTATTTAAGTATGATACAAGTTTCACATTCAAAAAAATAGAACAGATGCAAAAACACTTCTTTTCTTGGCGCTAGCCTCTGATAGCCTCTGATTCTTGTTCTTCGAGAAGTAACTTCAGTGGTTGAACACCCTTGGATACCCTATACATGACAAACTACATTTAATAAAAACTAAACATGTACTCCGGCATACCTTAGTGCATTTAAAAAGCAAACAAAGGTTACAACGTAACCTCTTATGGCAAATTGACAATTATTCCGCTGCTTTCCTACAATGCAACATTTGCATTTTAATTATTGAATCTCATAATAATAATTGCAATACAAATATAATTACCAGATTAAAAAATCTTACATGCATTAATGGCTCCACATTTGTACCAGCTATCCCTCCTTTTTCCTTTTTTGGTTGATGTTCTCTCTTCCTTTTACACTAGATATGATTAAATTAATAACTATGAGAAATATATTCAAGACAAACACATTAGTATTTGGTTATATACATTAACCTGTTTAGTCTTCGATACTGAATGAAATCTTTTATTATGACCAATTGTTCCACAGATGCTGCATTTCATCTTTACCAGTCCCTTCTTGCTCAATTTCTTGTTTCCAGCCTCATCCTCTCTCTCTTCAGGTTGCTTTCTCCTTGCAGTCTTCTTTTTCCCTTTTTTTTTCTCAAGACATTGAGGTGCTAATATTATTTTTTCTACTGGTCCTCTTGGCCACATATCAGGGCCATTTATTGGCTCAATGTGAAAGCTATAGACTCTTCTGTAAGTTTCCATTGAGTAGCATGTGGAAACAAATTGGTCAGGATTTAAATTATTACCAACAATGCATGCAATTGCATGTCCACAAGGAATTCCAGTCAGTTGCCATCTCCTACAACTGCATGTCTTCTCAGCCATGTCAACAACAAATTGAGAATTAGGTCCATGTACTTGAACTTTTGGTCCACCCGAATAATGGGGTATCCATTCATGAGAATATGTTTTGTTCTCTTCTAACTTAGCTTGAATTTTAGGGCATAAGGAATGTTGTCTACTTTGAAACTGCTTAAACTTCTTGTCTTGTCTCTTCATCAGTTTTGTTCTTATCATTTCCAACATCACAATGATAGGTTGATGCCTAGTGTCCAAGATGTATTTGTTAAATGCCTCACACACATTGTTAGTGAGCATATCACATTTAACTGAGTCCCTAAAGAATGCCCTACACCAATTTTTGCAAGGTCTGGACCTCAACCACTCTCTAGCTTCCTTGCATTTTTCCTCTATTTCTTCTAAACACTTCTCTAACTTAGCTTCATATGATGCCCGAGCAGCATTCCACAACACATTTTTAAGCTCTTCTCCCCTAAAGTGAACTCTATAATTTGTGTATAAATGCCTAACACAGGTTCTGTGTTCAACATTTGGCCACAATGAGTGAATTGCATTAATAAGGCCCTGTGAACAAACAAGTATAAATATTAAATATAAGTTGAGTTACTATAAAAAAAGAATTTAAGTTGAGAGGTGTACCTTTTGTTTGTCACTCATAACTGAAAATTGGAAACCATTGAATAGTTCTAAATCCCCTTGCAAGCACTCTAAGAACCAAGTCCAGCTTTCAGTGTCTTCAATTTTGACAACAATTGGAAACATGCAATCATTAGGGTCTATTCCAACCGCAGCTAGTAGTTGACCCCCATATGTACCCTTTAGCCAGCAACCATCAACACAAAAAATGGTCTACAATATTGCTTCCAAGCTGATTTCAGGGCTTGTAAGCAAATGTATATCCCTTCGAAAACACCCTTTTCCTCTTTAAAATGTACCGAAGAGCCTGGATTGGTTCTTATGAGCTCTTTTTTGTATGAATGCAAAGCTTCGTACTGCTTGCTTTCATCACCATAAATGGATTTCAAGGCTTTTTCTCTAGCCCTCCAGGCCTTCATTCTACTAATATTGTATCCCAAGTCTCTACTAACTCTGGCTATTACATGTGTCAAATCCCAATTGTTGTTAACTCTAAAGTCCTCCATATATTTATTTGCGATCCACTCACTAGTGCAGTGATAGTTTTTAGACACTTTACCGCATGTGTGATCGAGCTTCATCATTGTAACTTGAAAAGTGTTGTTCTGATTGTCTTTTTTATCAACTTTAGCTGCTGTGATCCTGAAATTGCAGCCTTCAACGGGACAAATGCAAACAACCTTTACTTTGTTGTCTTTCTTGAATCTAACTTCCCATCTATGTTTAATACCCCAGTTTTGACAAGCTTTCTTGAATTGTTTCTTATCTTTAAAAAGTAGACCGAGCTCAAATTGCGGATTTAAGATGAACCTCTCATGAAAACTTGGAAACTTTGGCCTACTTTTATCATCATCTTCAAAATCAGTTTCCAACTCCTCATCACTAGCTGCATAATCAGAAACATCAGATCCAACTTCAACTCTAAAGTGCTCTCCTAGTCCTTCATATGTTCCCCTAACAAATTCCTCTTCTCCCTCACGGTCTACCTCCAATTGTTCCTCATCCCTGATTTTATTAACTTCATCATTCAAATTATTCTCACTCACTTCAAAATTAAAGTCATCATCTCCGTCTTCTACAAGGTATTCAGAGTCATAGAGGTCTTCTTCACCTTCTTGAATGTCTTCACATGCTAATAATTGTTCTCTACCTTCTACTTCTGCTTCTTCTGTTTCTACACAAGTTGAGGCTGTGTGTTGAGTACGTTGTCCTAGAGCCTCATTCATCAAACTTGTATTAGCCCTAAATTCAGTTTCAACTGGACCAACAAATTCAAAATTTTCATTTAATTCCCATGAAATATGGCTTTGAACTTCATCTACTGTAACATGAGATGGTGGATTCATTTCTTTTTCAAGCCCACCAATAGAAGGTCCAGCGTGATAAACTATACCCTAAAATAGAATTCAAAACCAAAACAAAAAATTGGAATGGATAAAAAAACATGTGTTGATGCTTCAACCCTTTAAGAACTAAAAAATTACGCAAATGGTGAATTCAAACCTTGAAGAACAACAAAAAGAATATGAATGAAACGATGGGGCAACTCACAGGTATGGCCAACAAATTGAGCATGACAAATTATTTTCTTTAGCTAATTCAAACCTTAAACTTAGTAGCAATTTCACATCTCGTGGTCGATGGAGGCGATGGAGATGGAGGTCTCGGAGATCCTACTGGTTGCGATGGAAGATGGAGGCGCTGGCAAAAGGTCTGAAAATTACGACAAAATGGGGGAGGAATATGGAAGGCTAATTTTTGGGTGAATTGGGAAGGTTAGTATTTTGATTTTTGAGTACGGATTATCAATTAGATGGATAGGGCAGTCAAAAAAATAGAGAAAGTGAAATACAAGTAAGCATATAAAATACAGCATGGATGCCACATCATCAATTCTTAGTCGGAGGTATCAATTCCGGTGAAAATTCCGGTGAAGGGTATGAGTTTGTTATATATTTGAAAGATGAGGTACTCCTTTGTTACAAACATAAGATGGGGTACCTTTTTGTTACAATCTTTAAAGTTAGGGTACCTTCTATGAAAAAAAGC